GCAGGGGGTTGGGGAAGGGTATATCCCAATTTTTTTACGTTGGCATATTTATACGCCTCCAACTTCAGTAATAAATTATTCGCACATATTAATAATATTCTGTTCAGCATAGATATCCTTGAAACCTAGGAATATCTCCTACAGTCGGGTATCGATACATGCGACGTCTTTCGCCTATGGACAAGCGTCGTCATCGGTGGTCGTACGTCAAAGTCGATAATCGCCTCCACACTACTGTTGACTGCGTGCAGTGTGCATGGTGAAGGCCAATATCGTCATCCACGCGGGATTTGTCATCGCAACGATCATGTGCACCTATGACAATTCCTCTCGAATGTCAATTAATTTTTTGTTATACATGTTCGTGGCTAACTCGTTTTTCTCAGAAAGGCTAATTTGTGCCGAACATAATCCTTTACGAAGTGATGACAGGATAGCGAAGTACAGAATCAATTTACTTGAGCCATATTTTTCCAAAAATGCCCGACACTTAACTGTTTCTTTGCGTTTCGGTCGGCCGGTACTGTTGTAATGATATTTTCACATGTGAACCCTGTTCCGCTGTAAGGGATAGACTAAATTCCGATACTATCACCTCAAGCCTGCTTTATTCAAAAAGGTATATGGCTATGCCATTGGTGAAGAATATGACACTTTTGTTAGCAAGAAGTTAGTTTCCGACATATGGTTTCCAGCATGACAGACAAAAATTTGCATGCAAACAAATAGAAAACTGATGGACTCATATCATTTGTTATGAATTTTGTATTGTATAGTTTATACACTACTACTTTATATACTTTTATAAACTATATAGATTGTTTTCCATGAAAAAAATTATTTTTTAATTAGCTCAGAAGTGAGATTGAGGCTGTTGATTTCTTTATTGTATTTTTGTTTTAATACATATTAGTTCAGTTTATAAGTGTTTAACTCCTTTTCTCGCTTTTTGAAACTCGATCTGCCGACACATTTCTTAATCGGATCGTCTGTACCTGGCAACACTGGTCTGACCACAGACTGCCAACCATGGACAGCTGTTTCGTGCTTTTTGGCAACTCATCAGCATGGTCTAGGGTTGGTCTCAGGTATGACAGCAAACGAAAGCTGAGCAACTATCCTCTATATGGTCGCACCTGGTAATGAGTCTTTGCTGCCTTATTTTGTCCGTAGTGTTTGATTAGAACAATGTTACACCTAAGGAAATAACGGATAACTGAACGAATGTCTTTTTCTGAATATCAACTTAGGAATAGATGCATACAGATTTCTACGGCAATTAGTCCTAAAACAAGTCGATGTATTTTTAAACGGAATAATGAATTCAGTTGCAGTGGCACTGCGGCTGGTGCGGCCAGTTCTCTTGAAAGTATACACGACACTAGCAAGTCTCGAGAGACGATCATCAAGTAAAATGCCTGGCTAATTAAACCACAATTTGTAGTGATAATAGTACCGCCGCCATTCGATCCTAAGTAGAAAGCCGATTATGGTAATGTCGTTTATGAAATTTTATAGTACAATATATTATGCCTTGACGTTTATGTCTTCACCTCAGCACTTCTCTATTTGGATGTACAAATATAAGACGCTCATTGGAGACCGTAGGAGAAAGAGCTAGAGGAGGCCATGACACTAATGGAGAATTCGGTTAAACCTCAAACACTGCTTATTTAGCATGATTTTGAGTGCGATCTTTAGGATTTGCAGCCCGCTCGTCAAAAAGTTTTGGAGCAGATAGACTTTCACAAAAGATGCCTCTTGTCGGTGAGATAAATTCCTGCGGGGACGCCCATGAAGAAGATGCATGGCTGGTATTGCCTGGACCGGGGGTTTTTAAGAACCTCCATAGGGAGAAAAGCTTTATTTCTGATATCGTGAGGGTATGATTAACGTCTTAGTGTTCGTCTGATTGTTTCATGGTTTGTTTCAGTTTTTCTTCAATCATAACTTGTTAACAAATAATAGTAGCGCTATAAAATTCTATGTGCAAATTCCACTTTTATGGAAGAATGAACTGGGTGATTATTTGTTTTCTTATCACAGCCCTCCTTCAAAAAATATTTGCTTTTCTTGAAAACTCAATTAGCTATAAGATGTTTCGAAGAGAAAAGGTAATAAGAATAAAAGAAATCCCCGCTTCATTCTTCCATAAAAGTAAACTAACATACAATTTCAGAGCTGTACTACGTAATATTGGTTAGCAACGTACGATTGAAGGAAAAATGGACAATAAAATACACAACAAAATGTTTTTTTTTTTTCAAAAAAAATTGATAACACTTACTTCCTATGCCAAAAATAGCGAGGAAGTATTGAAATCGCGAAAAATTTCGGAATTGAGATATTATGTTTTTTGGATGATGCATGACATATTCATCATGAAAAACCATGTCACTCATTTTCGTCGGTCTGTCTTGTTTGACTGTCTTTCGGTCTGTCCGCTAATTTTCTAACCGCCTATGACTTGAGAAGTACCGCTCGAATTTTGATGAAATTTTCACTCAAGTTTACTACTATGGCAAAGATAAAGAAGCTTTGTAGTTTTTGAAAATCGGTCTAGTAGTGGTGGAACTAAGGGCAATAGCGGATAGAATTAAAATCGCTCAAACTTCGTTTTATGGCGTTTCAGGGGCTCCAGACTATTTTCGAACATTTTCTTGTAGGGGTTGAAACTTGAATGTTGGGGGTTGTAGGGGGTACGGGGTTGTACATATAACGTCTTTAGTATTAGTAAAAGACGTTCTATCATCAAGACGCTTCTGTTTCCAGTAACAACGGTGTAATCAAATAATAAAAGTCCGATGTTTATTGTGCTCATAATTCGAAATAACTTGCCAATCGTTGGCGTTACGTGGACGGTGCGATGCTGCATCGTCGTGGTGACCACTGCCGACTGTGCAATGCACATTTTGACAATATTTGTATATTTTCAGCAATACAAGGATATTAGGAATACGAACCACTTTAGCGGACTACGATGCATTGTAAATGATGACTTAATCTACACATACCTATTTTTTTATGATCCTAAAATGTATCAGCTATTTGGCCTGATTTGTGTTTCTCCGTCTATGATGGATCTTCGAATATTTCGAGGTTGACGCATTTATATACAACAGACAGGGACTGCCAAACCGACATAAATGAGAAACACGGACTTGTGTGGTGCAGATATCTTTAAGCAACAGAAAACTTGTGAACCGAAGTTCGAGTATTGTCGCGAATTCAATACGTACATCGTTTAGGTATACTTAAATTTTGGAAATTGATTCAGAGGCGGCAAAGATAAAACAGCTGGAACATAGTGTTATAACGTCTCAGAGATGCTCATTTGTAGATATTATTTGTAGAGGATGAAAATTGTAGGTTTGAAGTTGCAGGCGATAAATGGTTGTAAATTGTTGCATATTTGGTATCAGTGAAAGACCTATTATTAAGAAGCTTCTGATCTCAATGATATTATGCATTTATTAAACATGATAAGTCACACATATTTTCTTTACATCTGGGATGGAAATAGAAATTATGTAAATTTGCTTCATATAGCTTGATATGAAGCGGTCGAAGATTCATCATACCTAAGTCAGCCTACCTAATCACTATACGAATTCATCTTTTGAAACGATTTGACTCATCACGTTTTAACGAAGACGTAGGATATATACAGGGTGACTTCGAAGTTGAGTAATTTATTTTAACAGTGAGTAGATCTGATCAAAAGAAATGTTTTTTTCCTTTAACATTTTTGTGGTAAAATTAAAGTAACAAAGTTATAGCCCTTTAGAAGTTTGAGTACCGCCCTGTCTCAATAATAATATTATGTGCTCGTGTTTGGCAACAACGGATATAATCCGCCTTATTGGTTCATCTTATCGGAAACAAAAAAGCGAAAGAATTTCAAACGCTTATCACGATGTTTTTACTACAATTTTATTCAGTTGTATTCAGTCAATGTGTCGGCGGTAACGCGTGAGTGATAGTGGTGTTTGTTGCGTGGCTCAAACGAAATAAAAAATGGCACATGTTTACGAAAATGCTGAACTTGTGGACATGATTCTTATTTACGGGGGGGGAGGTCTTTACAAAATGCTGCCGCGGCATCACGGATTTATGAGGATCGGTTTCCCAATCGAGTGCAACCAATCCCTCGTGCCTTTGTTAATGTAGTACAAAGGACTCGTGAATCAGGAGACTTAAGACCTCACAGGGGAGAGCATGCCGGTGCTCCAAGACCGCCCGATCAAATACAGGTCCGCACTTAAATACTTGTCGTTAGGATACTTTATAAAATAAGGTAACATTTTTTTTTATTTTTACACAAATATTTTGGTTTATCTTCCTTCTACAATCATTATTTGAAAATTAATGACTCAACTTCAAAGTCAGTATTGTCAGTATTGTCAATCTACTTGACGCCATTTTTTTAGTCATCTCTATCCACACCATGAAGTGATGAAAAGGAATTAGAATACTGCTCCAAACAGGTAGTTGAAAAAGAGACATACTACCTTAGGTAGCTCCACGTTCAGAAATTACAATGTAACGACAAAAGTGCAAGAGCACTATAGAGCTTCGAACTAATCTCATTGATACGATGTTATTATAGTGTGCTTGTTAGACATATTGTCGGCAATTTTTCCAAGAAAACAGCAAGAGGTAAATTACAGCTGTCTGCTTGTAAATGTTGTGGTATTATATCACATCAGTTCGCAGCACATCAAGATCAGCCTGATCGCTTGATGAATGAATCATTTTCTCTTTTCTCGAGACGATTTGTTCATTGACCCAAATGTCGATGTGCGCTAAGGTTGAAATCGAATGCTAGTTATTATTAGACACAACTGTTGCACTTTGTACTTACCTGCGTTGTATCTAGGATTAAAATAATTAATCCTCATCTTCAAAAAGTATAAATCAGTGAACGTTATTTCAATAAACAGGGATTTTAGAATAATTGTCAAATAGGTCGAAATTTCATTGGAATGACTAAATTGCACTTACCAACAAAGAAGGCATATCAACTAACAAAAGAAAAACCAAAATTCATTTCGGTTCTTTCCTCTGCACGAATTCAAGAAGTGTTACAGAGCAATTGGTAGACAAAAGTCACAATACAATCCACATTTGAATTATTTTTGGCAAAAAAAACTTCAAAACTAGTCACATGAAATGTCCAACATTTTCAAGTGATCATCGCGCCGCGATATCGCGAATGGCGATCTTACAGACAAACGATTCACTTCTGGATAATTAGGAGGCTATTCCTCTGCGGTAACTACTGTCCATTATTTTTTATCTACCGTGAAAATCATGCCATCGCACAAGAATAATGATGGAAGGATTGAGTTAGCAACGGTAACAGGTGAACACGTAAAATCTGCTAACTTTACAGAATAGACATTAATGACGTCCCAGAGCTTAGTTTCAGACTCAGATTCTAAAATCATGAAATTACAGCCGGCCAGTTCAGTAGTCACCTAAATGCTAGTAAATTAGTATTTTCAGCCACTGGGGCTATTTTATGTTACTTATTATATCTTCAGAATCGTGCTGTAGTTCCCTGATTTTTGCAAAGCTATGCCGTAGAGATGTACTCCTATGTGGTCTCTACAACGTATATGAGTTTGTTGGTAGCACAATTCTTCGTTCGGGATCCGCTATTTTTTTTTCTGTTTCAAGGAGTCAACCCTTATTTCCACAGACTCGCCCTGTGGTCTCCTGATTTTTTCGGAACGCTATGCCGTAAAGATGTACTTCTATGAGGTATCTATAACATATATGAATTTCTTGGTGGCGCAATTCTTCGGTTTCATCTGCGATTTTTTTTTTTGTTTCGAAGTCAAGCTTTGTATGAACAGAATCACCCTGTAGTCCCCAGATTCTTTGCCAAGCTATGCCGTAGAGATGTACTTCTATGAGGTCTCTACGACATACATCGGTTTGTTGGTGCCACAATACTTCGTTTGGGTTTTGCAAATGTTTTTCTGTTTTGAGCTGTCAACCCTTATGTGCACAGAATCACCCTGTAGTCCCCAGATTTTTCTCAAAGCTATGCCGTAAAGATGTACTCCTATGGGACCTCTACAACATATATATGTTCGTTGGTGGCACAATTCGTTTGCGATCTGCGATTTTTTTAGCTTTATATGTACTTATTCGTTCGTGTCTTTGTCGGAATCACCATGTATAACTCCAATTGAGTTTAATAGGTTTTTGATATTTACAACAGTAGTTCAATTAGGCCTAATAACAGTACGAAACCATTTTTGGTATTTTGCGTATTAAAATATCACACATGGGCCTGTTCTCGTTCTTCCGTTCACTCATCCACTAGTAATATCGATTTCGGCTTACTATTTGAAGTAATTCGCCATATTTCATGATAAGTAAGATAAAATAGCCATAACGGGCTGAAAATACCAATTTTCTAGCATACAGTTGTCAATATGGAGGGTAATAATTTTACGACTTCGCTTATTTGACTCCATCTCCAAATATTTTGATTATTTCAAACAAAATTCACCCACATATTCCCAACAAATGATCCAGAACATCCCACTATTAAATATTTATGTAAATGAACTTAAGAAATACCATTCAGCTCACACATCTGCCAGATGTCATTTGTTCTAAATACATAATATTATTTTTGTTTAAAAATATAAACTTTCTCGTGTGAATGCGGCATCTCATTTAGCGGTAAAGATGGTAACTGAATAACAATACTAATAAAAGTGAGTCACATACTCGTAACAAGGTCAGGTTCAGGTTTAAAATATGTACATATACGGAAATTCCGTTTGATATTTTTAGCTTTAACAATAAAAAATGAATGGAATCTCAGGCTAAATTTGGATTATAATCTCAGCCGTTTATTAATTACGCTTCAAGAATGACATTTTATCTATCTTTATTATTTCCTATAATATTACATAAATCCTCAGTAGCTTTAATATTAACTTCATATAACAACGCCGTCCGAAACCAAACATTGTTTTCCTGAAACAGGACCCATAATCCTCAACTAGGTTGACTGCGCATACCCAGTCGGTTTCAATCCGTTGGAAATGTGACATTAGAAGATTGCTAATGTTGTATTATGCACAAATTATGCCCTTCTAGTTTATGCGTTATGCTTTTGGGGCTCTTCGACCAACGCTTTTGAGCCAAAAGAGGGTCATTTGATGTAAGGTGGGAGTTGACCGTAGACATAGTTGTAGAGAGCTATTCAAAACAATGAAACTCTGACATTATCTTTACTATCTCCTCACGGAATGTCAATGTACTCTCTCCTCAACAACGAAATGTTTAATATAAATAAAGGCATACATGGTGTCAACACCCGACAGCAACTCGATAAACATGTACCTTTTGTGAAAGGGAAACTTGGCTGCAGGTCTCCTTAAATCCTGGGTCAAGAATCTTTGATAATCTACCGTATGATCTTAAAAGGATAAAGGGCTTTCTTTAAGGTGAAGTCTGTATTGTGTTTAATTACATAATATGTATATACATGTTTGTTTTTTATATAGTTAGTTTTTTAAATCTGTTAAAGTGAATTTTTATATGCCTACTATTATTACAAATGAGAAAGTATCTGTAGCTAGATGTATGTTTCAATGGATGAATGTTTGTACGTTCTGTTTCCACGCGAAAACGGCTGAACCGATTTCCATGAATTTTAGCATTTATACAGATTAGACCTTAAAGATGCTTTTGTTGTCAAAATTAGACTTGAGGGGGTTGCAATAAGGGGTAAAAGCTACTATCTGAAACTTTTATTTCTTAAAGCTGGATATACATATATGTTTCATGTGCTCGGTTCTTTAATACGCTGTCAATGCACACTTACAAAGAAATTTTATTTCACGCCTAAGGGGGTAAATTGGGAGTTCACACTTTTAAATTTTTATATAGAATTGATACTGCCTAAATTATATTAACAGATAATTTCAGAAATAGTATATCCTCAAGATTTATGAAGGTTGCATATTTCTGTGGGGATTATGAATATTGAGGTTTAAGAATTTATCTCGAGCACTAAGAACATGGATACTAAGCCCTTATTGAAAGTGAAGAGGATTCATGGAATAGAATCATTAATTCATGTGACCTAATAAAAAATATGTAAGGTATTTTCAGGAGAATGCGTAATTCATCGATGAGGCGGCTAGATGGTTGTATTGAAGCGGGCCATTTCCAACACTTGTTTATCTAAATGTTAATGTTATTTGAATGGTACAGGGAAAAAAATATGAATGTCACAAAAAGTAAGTTTCGTGAAAAGTGAATTTAAAAGTTTCAAGACTGCTGGACTCGTTGTACACGGTTGGTCAAAGATTTGACGGAGTACCAGAGATTCCTGGGAATTGTAAAATAAAGTTAAATTACATACATATATAATTTTTTTTATTTTTTTATTTTCAGATTTTTCTTATGATTTTAAACTTTTTTATATGTTAGCGCCAAAGCCTGAATTCAAGTTTTTTTGAAATATTGATGTTAGAAATGAGCCTTTCTTCATATGCATTTTTTTGTTACAAATATTCGTTCAAATCCCGCTCAAGACGCCACTGGACAACACCCTGTATCTTGAGAACCAAGAATTTGCAGACCTACGTTTATAAGAATTTTGTTGTCTTAAGATTACTCAAAGAAACGTCTTTTAAATTTTTAGAACACATTTAATTAACACCCTGTATACAAAGGCCAAAAATACACATTAATCAAGGAATCCCGAAAATTATTTAACCTACAAACATGAATCTTGTCAGCGAGCCAGCTTATGGACTGAACATTTCAGCTAAGCACCGATTTTGTGGCAGGGTCAGGGGATTGAAGGGCACTTGCAGGTCTATTTGAAATTGCTTTTCTAATATCTTGTTGGCAACTTTGAGATCTGTTTACAGTAGGCTTAGACTAAGTATAGATTGTGTTGCCGGAAATTTGGCAGAGAGGTAGTTTTTACAATGTAAAATTTAGTTCAATTAAAAATGCTCATTTCGAAAAAATGGTAATATTAATTTGTTTGCTTTCCAGACCGTGGTTTTATCCCCGCAGCTTGGCAAAATTCATAAAATAATCATATTTCCTAAGCATGCAAGTTGATTGTTAATTTACTATGCAATGCAATTGTAGCAATACCCAAAAACAATTTTATATGTAACGAAGTCAAGAGTAACAGCTAGCTTTCTATATATTTGTATATGTTTGCATTTGTATAAATGATGAATCCTATACTTTATTTTTAATTTCTAATGACTGATAAAGTAAATGAAATGAAAGCTTGATCAGTTCTTAGGTATAGACAGAATATCAATACTTTCTTTCAAAATTAGTGAATCGAAAATGATGGTGATATTTTAAATATAAATAATATTATCGTGTACCCAAATTCTATTTTCTCTTGTGTAAAGACTTCGTGCAGAATTTGCTGGAGAAAAAAGTCTCACATCGTAAAGCACGTTACAATGACAAAACGAGTAACCACAAAATTGTCCATCGTAAAATAAATGGGCAAAAACAGTTGCATATCTTGAAATGTCCTCACGTCCTGTACGGGCGGATTTGTAAAAAGCAGAAGCGAACGCTCAGCTATACAAAAATGGTGTCGGAACATTCACGGTTTTTCATCCCATGAAGTCCTGCTGCAGCAGCAGCAATTATTATTATTATCGCCGGTGAGACAGCGGGATGACGTGGCATAAAAATGTTTTTACGGAAATATTTACAACGCGCTGCTGTTACAACCTTATTAGGGCGTTTGATCGCGCAAGCTCGATCAACGTACACAAAAGGAAACGATGCCGCGCTGTTGGACGCAGTTTTTTGTATATGTGACAAATTTCACGCGGGTTTCGGTGCTCTTTTTTACAATATCGCAAAATTGCATTACCGACAAACCACTACCCAATAATACTTAATATAACAATCCCTGAGAAAACACCATAATTATTTTAGTAACACAACACGTCCTTTACAAAAATACGACGAACGAAAGTTATTGACACTTGTAGAAGCGCAAAATTTGTTTCCACTTTAGGAACCTAATCAAGAAATGAGTGTAGCAGTTCTCAGGAGGGAAAAAACTACTATGATAATAAAACCGATAGCAATAAAAATAATTCTGAAATGATGTGATTAAAGAATATTGTTTCTCCAAATAGAAAGACTGAGTTATCTAGAATGCGTTTCGAAGATGGGGCAGTGACAGAAAAAATAATTATAGCAGAAAGAATGAACACTTATTTTACAGAAAGTATAAATCAGTGAAGACCATTGATGACGGTGATCCCAACTTATGTTCATTACAAGTATATCATAAGCAATCAAGTTAGGATAATAAACATGAATAATCTAAGAAAAGGTCTCAGACTTGAAGTATAATAAAAATCCAATGAGAATCCCTCAAAAAGGATTCTAAATGAGTGTTTCGACGTAATTGGAGGGGAATTATTATTAGTGAATCATTGTTCAGTAAATGGTGAATTAACGTCTTATCAGATGTCAAGAAGCTGTTCGAAGCGATAATATACGAACAAATTATTGAATTTACTGAAGAAAACAAAATTTTGACAAAAATCAAGCTGGATTTAGAAAAGGTATTCTACAGAAACAGCAATCCAAACGGTGGTAAAATCAGTCAGGTTGGAGGAAAACGAGGTATATGTGTGAGTGCCTAGACAGAAGAGGTACAAACATCCCTTGATGAGAAAAGCCGTGAAGAGATGGCGGAGGAGTTGAAGACTACGAAACAGATCCACAGTACAGTTGAATTCGGAGATATCTCGCAAATCCTGGGTATGGACTGGCCTGAAGCTGGTTATAGGACAGTGAAGGAGCTGGAAGGTAATCCGTTCAAGAGCTATGAGAACAGAAACGTCATCCTATACTTAGATCCGTAACAAAACTGCGTTCGAGATATAGTTCAGGATGCCATTTTAGATTCCCGGATATTAAACACATTTTGACCGATGGGTGCAGAGAGGGATATATCGAATACGCCACCAGTGAAACGCGAACAAGTCGTGAGATGGATGTTGGCTTACGTAGGACCGTGTGTATATTACCATTAGACATTGATAAAAATGGAGTAAATGACTTCTTAACAATGCTAGGGATCAATTTCTGTCACTTATGCCAGAAAGTCTTGCCATGTCCTGAAGGACTGGATATATCCTACATGCGGAAGATTGCCGAGTCCGTAATGCATGGGAGATACAACAAGTTAGAGTACTTAAAAGCAGGCAAGAAGGGAGTAGAAGGGCATAACGAGTCAATACGGGTAGGTATGGAAAAGGAGACACAACAACGTGGACATGTATTGTAAAGGATACGCTGAACTTCTTAAATCAGTGAAAGAGAAGATTGATGTTGACCGACTTGGTCAAAAATCTAAGAAAAACCGCAGCTGGCGACCTTCTAATAAATATAGAGGCCAAATGCATGACAGAAACCCTGGGGAAAGCTACCAAATCGTTGACAGAATCTGAGGTCGTTATTCAAAAACGAGAAAGAGTCCTCCACGACGGGGTAGCTACTAAAGAGGAACTCGCTGCTGCACTGGGACAGGTTGTCGGCCATAACATCGGAAGTAAGCTTGCTGTAAGTGATCTATGACCCACAAAAAATGGAAACCAATCTGTCACAGTTACCGCATAGGGGGAAATTGCAGAAGCTCATATTAGCATGAGCAAAATTAGAATTGGACTCGTAGCATGTCGGATTAGGGTAAAAAGGATACATGTTTAAAGGTGTCTCCGTTGCTTCGATATCGGCCACGTTACTCGGAATTGTGGCAGTGCAGACTTATCCGACCACTGTCTGAGCTGCTGTCAGAAAGGCCATAAGGCGCGAGAGTGCAATAGCTATACAGTCCACTCGAATACTCTAACAATATGAAAATCCCTAAAGGTGAAATATGTGCTGCTAGGAAAACCTCTATAAATCTCACAAGATTAGTAATGGAAACAACTATCAAGGTCAGATATTTGGTAAATTTTTACGAGTGATGTTGAATTTGACCTTAATCATCACCATGAAGGTTATTTCAAGGCTAACTTCATCCCATAGAAATAGAAGGTGCAACGTCTTGTGATAATGGATAAGGTAAACGGTCCACTCATTACGCCAACGTCTTACAGACCCCTATGTATGCTAGATGATGTCAGAAATTATACGAAAGACTGCTGAGACAATGACTTCGCGGAGCGGTAAAGGAGACCGATGAGCTTTCCGGAAGGCAACATGGTTTCAGAGTTGGCCATTCAACCAGTGATGTCAGTCAAGAAGTGGTGGATTATACCAACTCAACTTGGACAGGAAATCATTGGACGCGAAACTCCTGCTTGCTGGTCACCCTTGACGTCAAAAAACGCCTTCAATTCTGCAAGAAAGGTCATCCTTGCCGCACTTGAGCAACAATTCAAAGTGCCAGTGTATCTCCTGTACGTATTAGCGGATTACCTCCATGGCAGGGAATTGATTTATCAAAGGACTGTGTGGTATATAACAGGCTCCATGGAGAGGTTAAGTCTCTCTCAGTTTTTCACTGACTATAGACTTTTTAACGCATACCTGCATCGTCTCAAGCTGACAAACACACCGCAATGCGTCTTCTGTGCGGAGGACACATTCTTTGACTGTCCCAGATGAAACTCCAGAAGACAGCTTGTTGAATTGCAAGTAGGTGAGAGACTGATCCCCGGCAAAAATTGCAAAGTTGATGGTTAGAAACGAGAGGTTTTGGAATATCGCAACGCATGTGGAAGAAGTCCTGAAGGAAAAGAAGAGAATGCAAGCTAGAACATAGGTGCACAACGTAAGGCTGGCAGCACCGTTTCTGAAGAAATACGAAAGCGGTACCGGAACGATATTATCAATGAAGAGCGACATGTGTATTCAGGAGGCAGGGGATTTTTTACTGGAGTAGGATCGTCCAGTCGTCGCAAAGAGCGGTGCGTGCAACTTTATCACCGCAGCACGGCTTTTCAAGAAAGAATGCCATCACGTTTTTCCCCTGCCAATAAAAAAAACTACTACTGCTGCTACTACTACTATTTTTTGGAAAATAATAATGTAAATAAGCTTGGGCTGTAAGTGAAAATCTAAGTTATAGTCATTAAGAAGCTACACATGGTAAAATATTCGGTGAAAGTTTTATTGCTAACGTACCATAAATGTAGTTGTGGGAACTTACGGTGGTTTAAATGCTTGATCATCACCGCCTTGCAGAAAAAAGCTGAATAACCAACGCCAACGTCAGTATATAATATGTTTTACAGTACAGAAAAATGAAACAGCTTTGAAGAATCATAACAGGAATAGATGAAACAACGAATCGGTTGAGACTTCAGCGACAAGAAATCATTAATAAAAATCGCCGTCATCATGAAAATGAACGGCAACTATTTTAACATTGTCGTTTGCAATGTTGAATATTTCAGAAAATACAGGGGCCATAATAAGATTTATGGGGTTGAAGGCAAATCGATATACTGCCTTTAACAAAATGCCCCGCCCTCTAGAATCCCCAAGCACCTGTTTTCAATCCTCTACTAAAATTTTTTGAAAATCATCAGAAGCCACTGAAACGTCAAAAAGAGAAGTTTGAGCGATTTTTTCCGTGTTTTCGCCTCTAGTCCTGCTGTCACTGTACGGATGTTCAAGAACTACAAAGCTTTTTTATCCTTGGAAAAGTAGTAACCTTGTGTAAAAATTTCATCCAAATCCAAGCAGTGCTTTCCAAGTTATAGGGGGTCCAAATATTAGCGGACAGACCTTATTATATTTTATTTTTATTAAAGATATTGTGACAGACTTACTCTGCGAGTACTTGCTTTATGCTGACGATTTGAAAATGTTTAATAGTGTGTGCGGCTTGGAAGATAGTTTTAAGTTACACGCTGATTTGAATGTCATAGATGACTGGTGTAAAGCAATTAAAATGCATTTGGAGGATCAATAGATGTTCTAGTATCACACGTTTACATGTAGAGTTGAACCGACATGTTTCATTTTTGAAATCGGTAGCAGTGTTCTCCGGCGCGTTGATAACTTCAAGGATTTGGTCATTTGATTCGATCCAAAGCTTTCAATTGTTGACCATATTAATACAATAATAGTAAAAGCATATAGAAGTCTTGGGTTTGTTATTAAAAGCAGAAGACACTTCAATAACACTAGTACATTGATTTTAATGTTTAATCCTTTTGTCTGATCTATTTTAGAATATTGTTCGATTATCTAGTACCCGGCCTAAGGTATATTGAGAGAATTCAATGAAATTTTGTGAAGTACCTATGGTTCAAAGATGGTACCCTGAAAGGAGAATACGCAATGACATGCTTCTAAGAAAGTACAATCTATCTAGTTTCGTCAAACAAAAAAAGTCTCTTAGCTGCACATTTTTTATGTAATCTGTTAAATGGAACTACTGATTGTACTTGTCTTTTAGATAGGATTTCCCTACGCGATCTCGATTTGCATACTCGTCATGGTAGTAACATTCCATTTTACTCACCAATTTGTTATTTTTGACACTTTATATGCAATTTGTTGGTAAACTTGATGTTTTCAGTTCCACCAAAAACAATCTTTGAAAGCGTTTTTTAACTGTTGGATGAGTTATACTTTTCTCTGTTTCCTATCAAGTACCGTCTTCAGGTTTTTTTTATAAATTTGCTTTTTTCCTTCCTGTTAATTGGAGTTACTTGCTGAGGCAGTGTATGAGTTCTCAATATAGCATCAAAAAACTTATTAGCTCAATTTCGAAATTTTTCGCGATACATTCCTCACCAGTATGCGGGTGAAGTAACAGAAGTGCACTTTATTATGATACACCCTGTAGAAAAATTCAGAAGCAAAAGACTTACCTTTAGGAAATCTCGCAGCCACACGACTTCTGGCTTCGGATCTCCGATCACCTCGCATAAAATCACTATGTTATCTCCCTCGTATGCTTCCGTTGACATTGGCTTAGTCAGAAATTTTGGTTCTTTGGAATATCTAAAATCAACAATTAAGCACTTTCATATATTCCATAAATTGACTACTGTAATCATACTAACAAAAACATATAAGGGACGTCCCTGGCTGCTAAGCAAACTACAGTGATTTTACAAATTAAAGGAGAAAATACACAGCAAAAAAACTAAGACGTATGTATGGTATTCGCAGATTTCGTAAGGTAATTTTCTGTGAGCCTGCGAATAGCCTGAATGCAACAGCTGCTGCGGACAATTAAATCAAATAATTGAGTGATTACTACGGCAAATTACAGCAATTTCTGTTTTTGTGATACGTGAAAGCAACCTTTTAAACCGACACACAGCTCTTGATGACAAGAATTATCCCCTGAAGGAGACATCAGGCAAATTGACACGTTTTTCTCAGACACTGGATTGAAACAAAAAAAATGCACTTATTTAAAGACTTTTGAACCATAAAATATTTATCCTATAATTCTTATTCCATGAAATGTGGCAGAAAAGCAAGTAATGATTTCTTGAAAAAAACATAAAACCAAACCTAAGCAGTCGAGCAAATTGACTATACTGAACATACCATTTCTAATAATATATGTCAAAAAAACATTAAACGACAATCTAAATAGCCACAATAACGACGATACAGTTAAGCTTTTTATGAATATTCCTCAACGGTATATACAAACGAGCAAGTTGATCAAGTTCCAAATTATACAACATATAAAATGTATGTAACACGGTATGAGTGTAAAATTCAGGAATTCATAGAAACTGTGATGCAAGCCCCCTGGAAGATATCTTATGGACTCCATTTGCTTTGGAAAAGTGCGTTTTCACTCTCGCTAAGCCGCTCATATCTATCAACAATATATCTTTAGATTTAGGTGCATTTCCTGACTGCTGGAAAGAGAGTTTTTTAACACCTATTCATAAGTCTAGTCCCAAAAATGATGCAAAACAACCGAACGGTATGTCTCCAATCCGAAATTGCCGAGCTTTTAGATTACCTGGTATAAAAGAAACCATCATGGGACACTGGACATTTAACTAATGACCAACAGCATGGCTTCACCGCAGTAAAATCAACTGCTACAAATTTAATCATTTATGAGAACTTCATACTCACTACTTAAAAACAAGATTTAAGTAGACTCCATCTACCCGGATTATATGAAAGCTTCAAACAGAGTAACGATCTACTTTTGGCTAAATTAGGTAAACTGCAAGTATCAAGCAGTCAACTATCCTGGTAGGCCTATCAGGTTTAACACACTGCGTCAGGTAAGCTGGTTCATTATCTAATCCCACCAATGTATTTTCAGGTGTACGCCAAGGCTCCCACATTGGTCCAGTTTTATTCAATGTATTTGTTAACGATATTGCAGAATCTATGTCAAATAATAATTTGATTTTGGCAGATCTTAAATTATTCTGTAAGAAATATCCACGATGCGGAAATCTTACAAAGAAATGTCATAAATCTTACTCGGTGGTGTAGTGATAATACTGATAATACACTTAGCTACCAGATAAGCTTCAGCCGTAGTTTAAATTCTCTCATGTATGAATTTCAAGTTGAAAACCATGACCTCATGAGAACTGATACAGTTAAGAATTTAGGAATAACTTTTGATACAAAATTAACTTTTAAAACACACATTAGAGAAACTACTTCTAAGTCATATAAAATATTGGGATACATTTTTAGATCTACCAAACAACTCTCTTTAGGAGCTTTTCGAATTTTATACCGCTCTTTGGTGCGTAGTATTTTGGAGTACAACGCAATGGTATGGTCGCCAAATTTAATTTCTTAACATTAACTTCATTGAAGCAGAGCAAGGTTAATTCTTAAGACAGGCAGATTTTAAAATTGGTCCGAGTCAGAATGCTTCGGAACTAATGATGAGTACTTTGAACATAGACTCCCTGAAATGCCGCAGGGAAATTTTTGATTTATGTTTTCTGTTCAGAATAGATTGCCCAGAGGTGCTAGTACAAATAAATCTTAATGTTAATGGAAGACGAACTTGCAAATACAGGACTGTTTACGATTTCACACCATTCTACGATATCATGGTATGATTCTTTACCTTGTTAGGTTTTAAATATAACTAGGTTGGATATCACATGAGTCTATACTTCTTCTTCAGTTTAATAATTTATATAAATACATTGTAATCTAGCTCATAGACGTAATGTTTTTTTATGTGAGTGGAAAACGTAAACAAATAGATAAATAAATATTTCCTAAAATGTTGTACCAAAACATATATCAATATTTGCGAAATTATTAAAATATTTAATTAGATTTAATAGTGTTGCAGTGGAGTTCCAAACTTACGGAACATCTGGCTTTTTAACAGCAGTAGCATCACTATCCGCTTCTTCTTTTTTAGCATCTCTGTCCAATACGACAACTTTAGCATTGCTTTCTGCTCTTCCAACCTCGTTGCTGACCACACAAGTGTACACTCCGGCATCTTGCTTTGTCACTCCTGCAATGGACAGCTCTAATCTGCCATCATAGGATAGGGTCATCACAGCTCGACGGCTAGGTCTCAGTTTCATCTAGATTACACGAAAATTTAACCATAAATAATTTGAACGGCAATACAGTTCTCAATAATTTTTATTTTGAGCCCTCACACCAGCAAGAATGCTCATCCCCGAGTAAACTAAACCCCCACGCCACAATGGTGATAATACTGTTCTATACAGGGTGACCAGGATAAAGATTCTATGCATGAAAATCTCAATACTTGTGGGAGATACAGCTTAGGCTAAATTAGGAAAAAGCTGCGCTCTTTGGGGCCGTTGAGAAGCTTGTAAAAATTTCATGGCTTACTGAGGCATTTGGGAAGAACTAATACTTGGCCAAATCGTTTTTATTTTTTTCTGATAGAAATATGAAATAACTTTTTCATTGCCACTGTTTCGGCACCAGATGATGGTGTTTGCCGGTTCGTTTTTCAGAAACCATCATCAACTTTATTTTTTATATGGTCCGAAAAAGACCCAGTATTTAATAGCATGTTCATATGAATTCAATGATGTTACATTTATTTTCTTGGTTATAGAGGAGAAATGCGTTTTTTTCTATTTTTTTATTTTTTTTTAAACTAGGTGCTTCAAACAAATGCTTGGCTTGGCGTAAATACCTGTTAGTGCCAGTGTTGTTATTATTGTGTAGTGTGAATATTGCTTTATATGGTCAAAGATGCCAGGCGTTCATTTTAGCAATGTTCGACAAGCTGATATGCTACATTTTGTGCTACAAAAATACTAAAAATACTGCAGAAATGTATCTCGATAGATTTCCCAAAAGAAGTAAATCCATTTTCTTAGAGTTGGCTCGAAATTTAAATGAATATGGCGAGCTCAGCTGTAACTCGCTATACATTTACCAACTGCTGCATCTAAAACATACCTAGGCTGAACTATACCTTATCGCAAATATTTGATTTTTTATTTTAAAATGAAAAATTAAGATATAACGACACGAAATTATCATTTTTTCTTTAAGGAACCCTCTGCTTGCTATTTTATAGAACTTCAAAGTTGCATTTTGGGTGATAATACTGTGGTATAAAAAGTAGCTTTTAAGCTGTTTTTTTCTTGTTTACACAAAAAATTGTTCAAAATTATACGAATATAACATATACTGTAAATTACTGTGACATTGTTCATCGCAATAATGCAATTTTGCATAATTTTAAGGATGAAAATAGTTATTGCTAAGTAGTCATTTCTTTTATTTCAGATAAATATTCCCATCACTACACCACCATCACTATCATACTCTCTCTAACTAGTTGCGATGTTGCAATGCCATGGATAGTAATATACCTTAATTTGGTTTGTGAAATTCTTACTGATATACTACCTCAAAAATGTGCATTCGGCACAGAATTGTCATAAAAATGCGATTTGGAGGTGTAACCGGCAGGTTTTGTTGTACTGTACTCCACCTCGTGCCCTACGATAGCGTTAGGTGGAGACACTTTTTTTAAGAATGCCTTATGCCCTTCACAAAAGTACTTCTGTTATTGTTTTTCCCATATTATAGTTATAATCTTTTACTTTTTCTATGTATGTACTTGAAGAATTATTTGAATAGAAGCTAATGTCACAAAATATACCTAACTAATGTGATCTATATGAGAAATAACTTGAAAAGTAGCTGTTGCCATTCACTAAATAATGAAAACATAACCAAAAACATTCCACATTTTTTGATGATTTGATGAAATGACCGTTGATCCTTATTTAACAATAATGTTGCCTCTATTTGCATCGCCCAGGATGATGCTATAATATTAGGCGATGTCAACATTGACCTCACTGACGAATTTAGTAATTCAACCAGGCAGTTTTTACAAATTATGACACTATCCAACCTGAAACAGATTATTTGGGAGCTAACAAGAATAACTGTTGATACATCAACTATGATTTTTGTGTCAAATACTGTAAATGTATACAGCCATGGAACTTTAGGTTTGCTAGAAATAACAAATCATAGATTGTGCTTCTGTGAGAATTTGAGAGAGATGCTGCCACGGTGGATTGGAGTCACATAGATAATTTACATAATATATAATTTACAAAATCTTGATGAAAAGGTTCTTCTTATTACTGAAACAATCAACATGCTGTATAATATACATGCGCCAATGAAAAGATATACAAAGCGTAAAAGTTATAAACCAAATTATGTGACCTACACTATAAAATGTATCATGAATTTGAAACGACAAGCATAGCACAAATTTAATAGCAGGCGATCCGAAGAACAGCACACATATTATAATGAACTTAGAAATTATTTAGTATTGCTTTGAAGAACGAAAAACCCGCTTATATAAGAGTTCAACTCGATAAAAATAGGAATAACCATAAGCAACTCTGGAGTGATTTCTCCAAGTGGAATATTCATCAAAAATCAGACAAACAGATATCACAGGAAATTGAAGACCCAGAAGCCATCAACAATTACTTTATTGACTCTCTACCAACCGTTCTGCTTGATGACTTATTTCTGGAGACATTTTCAGGACTCAAAAATTCTGCTGTATCTAAATCTTCATTTCGTCACGGTACACCATATGACATTGCGCGGAAATTGAAAGAAGTGAGATGCAATGCTGCGGGTGTTGATGGTATCACCTTTTTGTAAGCAGCAACTAACTAGTATTATAAACCAGTCACTGGACACAGGAGAAGTACCATCAATATGGAAAGAGTCAATTGTAACACCGCTTCCTAAAGTCGATAACGCTACAGAATTGAGCAACTTGAGACCAATCACTGCTGTACCTATCATGTCGAAGTTGTTAGAGAAAATAGTGGACGATGAGTTTCGTGAGCACTTTGAGCAAAACAAAGTTTTGCCTGACACCCAGTCGGGTTTCAGGAAACTACACAGTATGTCAACAGCACTCATCAAAATTACTAGTGACATAATCAAGTGCATCGATGACGGCAAGGTTACGCTGCTAGTGATGTTGCATTACAGCAAAGCGTTTGATATGTTAAACCACAAGATGCTGTGTACAAAACTGAAACATTATGGTTTTTCCGACAGAGCTTCACAATGGTTCACGAACTATTTGACTGATAGATCGCACTATGTGAAAGTAAATTCTGATGTTAAACGAAAGAGTGTTTTAGGCCCTGTACTATTTGTATTTTACATATCAGATCTAACAGATTATAGAGGCGTGTTTTTAAAGTAAGCGCATGCGCGTCGTGTAGCTACATCTGTTGGGAAGCCACAGACGCCATTACGGAACCATCCGATCGAGGATCGAGCCTACATCTGTTTGCGTGATTTTAAAATGCCTCCACCGATTGAGAATACCGCCGACTTCGATGTGCGTGCTGTAATACGGTTTATCTGTGCTCAATGCTTCAAATCAGTTGACATTCATCACCAAATCAGTGAAGTGTATGGTGAAAACATTATGAGTGATGGAATGGTGCGGAAATGGGTTAGGACCTTTAAAGATGGCCTCATAAACATTCAAGATGAGGAACGAAGTGGGAGACCTTCAGTCATTACCGATGACCTGATTCAAAAAGTGGACTGTAAAGTGAAAGAGAACGGACGATTCACGATTTCGTCCTTGGCTGAAAAGTTTCCTGCTGTCTCAAGAAGTGTTCTTTACGAAATTGTGTCCGAACGTTTAAATTATCGGAAATTGTGTTCACGCTGGGTGCCAAAAATGTTGACTGATGAGCACAAAACCAAAAGATTGGCAGTGCATTGAGTTTTCTCGAACGATACAGTAACGAGGGGAATGATTTTCTAAGCCATATTGTCACAGGCGATGAAACATGGGTAGCCTACGTTACACCGGAATCGAAACAGCAATCAATGGAATGGCAGCTTTCATCATCTCCTAGGAAAAAATTTAAACAAACAATTTCTCCTCAGAAAATCATGTGCACTGTGTTTTGGGACAGAAAGGGTGTGTTGCTGGTCAATTTTTTGACTCGCGGCGACACGATCAATGCAGTAGCGTACTGTGAGACTTTACAAAAACTGCGTCGTGTAATTCAAAACAAAAGGCGTGGCATGCTGAGTGCAGGTGTCGTTTTTCTCCACGATAATGCCCGTCCACACACAGCAAATCGAACACAAAACCTTATCACTTCTTTTGGCTGGGAACAATTGGACCACCCTCCCTACAGTCCCGATCTAGCGCCGAGCGACTACCATTTGTTTACGCACTTGAAGAAGCATCTGGAGGGGCAGCGCCATTCCGATGATGAAGTGAAAACGACTGTGAAGCAGTGGTTGTCTACTCAGGTGGCAAGCTTCTTTGACGATGGCATACAAAAGCTGGTCCCAAGATACGATAAATGTCTCAATCGTAATGGAAATTACGTAGAAAAGTAAAGTATGGCCTTTCAAGTGAATAAATTATTTTTGGACAAAATTTACTTGTTTTTTTATGTCAAAACGGTACTTACTTTAAAAATACGCCTCGTATATCATCTGGTTGGAATGTATACCTGTATGCGGATGATGTACGAGTACAAATATATAAGGCATGTAAACCAGATGATGCAAATACCCTCATATCGGAGCTTAACACAAATTTAGAAATGATAACAAGATATTCAAAAAATTATTGTCTGAGACTTAACCCCACAAAAACTAAGGCTTGTTGTATTGGTTCGAGACTAGTTGTTCCAAAATTCAAAAAAGCAGTGAACGCAAATATACTTTTAGATGCTACAGTAGTAGTAATTCAAATTGTAGATAAAACAAAAAGTTTGGTAATACTATTAGATACAAATTTAAATTTTGAATGTCATGTTATGAATAAACTCAAATTGTGCTAATATAAATATAAAACGCTTTGGAGATATAAACACATACTGACAAGTGATATTAAATTAATGCTTGTAAACTCGTTAATCCATACACACATATGGTGCCACAGTCTATTACAACTTCCTTAAAGAAGAAATAAAAAAAAAATTCAAATTCTACATAAGATTTTGTTACGAGGGATGTCTTTTAAGTTTTGCATATGGAAATAAAACAACACGGTAGGTAG